GGGATAAAAAGGTAAATACGTATAACTGGGGAGAGAGCTTAGAGAAATATTGTAAATTTCAGAAATATTTTTGCCAAAATGAGTCAAAACTTTTGTAATAAGGAATAAGTTTTAGTTATCAGTAAAATTCACTTTACTTACTGCCTCACATCATATGAAATTACTATACATACAGCAAACACCACTACATCAAGCTCAGACAGTTGTTAAAGTACCTGCTTTTGATCCAAAAGGAACAGATGAGTTTTTCTGAAGAGGATTTTTTGGGTATCTAGGTGTCTCCACAGGATAACCTGTGAAGTATGCTTCACCAAAATAAGAAATAAAGACGGGAGACAAGGGTGGGGGTGGGCTATATAATCTGTCGTGAGTTTTACGGTTTATTTTTTAGAGACTGGGTCTTGCTCTGCTGCCCAGGACGGAGTGCAGTGACAGCATCATAGCTCACTGCAGTCTCCAACTCCTGGGCTCAAGTGATCCTCCCTATTCAGCCTCCTGAGTAGCTGGGGCTTACAGGTGTGCACCACCACTCCTGGATAATTTTTAAATTTTTTTTGAGACAGGGTGTTGCCCAGCTGATGTCAAACTCCTGGGGTCAAGCAATCTTCCTGCTTTGGCCTCCCGAAGTGCTGGATTACAGGTTGTGAGCCACTGAGCCTGACAAGTTCTATAGTTTAAAAAGCAGCTCACCCCACTCCATAGTGGAGTTTTTGTGTATATCTCACTCTAAAAATATGTTAACATTCAATTTTAATCCTTAACTAACTTGCCTAAATAATCTAACTTATGTTACATAATTCTAAAACTTTTATGCTTACTATTAACTTGGAGCAGATATCTGTATTATAACAAATCTATCTGGGCTGGCCAAGTATTACAGTATTTAAATAAACTTGATTTTAACTCGGAGTAATATTTCATTACCTAGCTCCAAAATATCCGAAGGATCAAGGTGTGAACTCTTATTGCAAAATTCATTCACCTTCTTTTCCAATACCGTTGCATCTTTTATTTGTGAATACTTCCGAATGTAGAAGTGGCAAGGATGTATCACATGGCTTACAAAAACCAGCTCTGGAGAACCTGGATAAGAATCAATTAAACCACATTACTAAACCACGGGTTAGAAAAGAATTCACAAAGGCTGAAAATCTATAATAGCCTCTAAAAGAATAAGTGTCTTATGGCATTGTAAACTCTAGAATACTAAATCGAGGCCCTACAAAAGAGTCCAAACCCTAAATGACTGATAAAACAAATGGATCACTTTCAATCATGAATTATTTAGCAATTTGAACTGCGAATACTTTACATTACTTATAAAATGTAAGCGGGATCGCAGTTCATGTGACAGATTCTAAAGTCAGCATACATGTTGTAACTCCGCAGTATTATAAAACTTAGTTTATTTATGGATATATTTGGAACTCAGAATCCCATTGATAATGATTAGGTTTCTAGGACAGCTTACAAAAGCCAGTTCGATCTATACTCTACTGTATACTATACCTACAGAACCAATATAACTCACAGCCACTCTGAATCCCAAGTCTTAGAAATCAGGTTAGAGAGGTGTGAAAAAATGTCTAGGCTAAGCCAAAGTACTCAGCAGCATTTAGAGGAATGTGTGTGTACTTTGGTGGGATGAGTAAAGACAGTGAGAAAATTTTCT